TACTGAAGCGGGGAAAACAAAACAGTCTATTTGAGGGAATAACGAATTTTCTGTTTGTTTATGCACACCGTTTTGAGTTTGTTTTTGTTGATTTTGGGGTTGCACACAGGAAAAGATGCATTCACGCCACTGACTTCGGTTCGATGCCATATCCCGTAGTCTTCAACCAAAGACAATCTGAATGTTTGGGGTCCCAGCCGGGAAACCACAACGGAAGCCAGATCCGAGCACAGTCTCTTTAACCCTCTGCGCCACGTCATAGCCTGTCCACCTCGTTGTTTCTTCCAGCCTGGACCGACTTCTGCGAATAGTGCACGGTGTCAGATTTTGCTCAGGCATTCGTAGGACGTGCCCTAACCACCTAAGACGATGCTGTGAAATTATTTTTCTCAAAGGAAGACTGTCTGATCCTAGCACCTGTCGTCTGACTTCATCGTTATTTACGCGACGATTCCACTATACGCGAGCAATATTGCGCAGACAACAGTTGTCGAAGACGGAAAGTCGTTGAAGTTTGGTAAAACCAATACAAATGTCTGTTATTGAGGCGCTGGGTAATCCATTCAACTTTCACCGGATTTTAGTTGGTCCTTATCTAATAGGTTCTCACAATATATCTGAATGGTTTAACACTACTTTACTCTGTGAACAGAACTATATCAATGTGAGTTTCGTTTTCATTTAGCACCGAATTATTTGCCGTTGAATCAGAACTTCTGTTCCGAGCACTAATTAATTACAAACAGGCGCTTAAAACACTTGTGCTCATGAATTTAAACCCCATCATCGTTATCCATCTTTGGCGGGCAAATTCACTCGTTCTGCCCAGTGTCACATTTGAGTCTTGTGTGTCTCGCTACTCAAAGTTGCCAGTTTTCCACATTGTGCATTTGTTCCTCGTGACTGTGCATCTCATCCTTTCTACTGCTGTTCTGTAATGACAAATACTGATAATGGAGGAAACCGCACACATTACAACATGAGTAAAGTTTAATAACCGATTCTGTGTATAAAATCAACTTCCGTCTACGTGCTGGATGCTGATTGTTTGTGACATCTTCCTGTTTAGATGTATTCGTTTCAGGACTAAAAAAACCCAATATGCCTACATCTTACCGCTCACTTTTTATTCTGAAAAACTTTTAAATGACACCATTTACAGATAAATGATCTCTGGGGCGATAACTGTCGTTCCACACTTACGAATGTTGAAGAATTATGCCTACTGACCTCCCACTGCAAGTGTAGGAATTGCTTTCAATCACGTACGTATAATTTTGTTTAACTTCCAGGTGTCTCAGTGGCCTCCGGGTCACCACTGTATATCGTTCTCACTCTCTTCTTCGGACCACGAGGATGAGAATGATGAACACCAGGTGTTGGACTCTCGTGATCGCCATCACCACAACCTGATACAATTTTTGCCTACTTCTCGTTCGTCGAACGATGCCATTTCGAACTCATCAGCTATTTCCCGCTCAGCCTCACTGAACAGGATTCGTCATCGACGACAGGCTTTCACCGACACGAACGAGGTTTCGTGTCAACCATTTGCCGAGCAACCAACTCCGTCAACTGCTGAACGAGTTTCACGGCGTAAGTCTGTCTTGCGTCCACTGAACCATGAGCTCGGCGGTCGTTCTAGCCGTAGTACCAGTCAGAGCAGTTTATCCGATTCGGATCATCGATATACTACTACTAATCTACAAGAAGGCTGTTGCAGCTCAGATTCCGAGTTGGATTACCGTATGGATGGCGGTCGCTATTTTCGCGCTCGGGGACGTGCATCCGGCTCCATGAAACTTGAACCATCCTGTTCGTCTTCCACTTTACCATCATCTGCCGCGCAACCCGGACACCTTCGGCCCCGGCATACCGGTATTGTGTCCACTCTCTCTCCTGTTTCGAAGTTCGATTTGGAAACAGGATCTGGAGCGAACGATAGTGTGATTTTGTCAACCCGTTCACCATCAACTAATGCACCGTCGTCCTCTCGTCGGTTTGATCCATTGGACACAAGTGATGGAGGCAGCTCGTTTCGCAGCTTTCCTAGCACGTCATCCACCTGTTCTACTTCTCGACGTATGGAGCGACATTTGCGTGATGTGGATCAATTGGAGCTGGCNAGCTGGCTAAGGTTCCTTTCACTTATGAGCAGGTGGTTTACTGTTCGAACGAGGAATTCAAGGAGCTGCGTTCCATGCCAAATCTCACATCCCACCAAGTGAGTTCTCTTTCATGTACATATTATCGGTCTATGTTTCTGTCGGATAGCAATCGATTACGTCAACCTATGTCGTTGTTCGCTAACTGCCACACAACCTCCGTTCCAATTTAGCGACATAGATTCAAAAGCCCCACTTCCAAGAACTGCAGATCGAGTTTCACTTCTAACTTCTTCAAATGGAATCGTTCTGTATTAAACTAAATCCAACTTCGAAAATCTGTAATGTGATTGGTACCTAGCTGGTCCCATGAAAGCTAACACTTAGCTTCTGTCCCTTAATATCTACTATAGGTTTCTCGCCAAGGCGTTGGTTACTCATTATGACTCCCAATTCCTATTTTAAATTAGAATAAAACAAATGAATACTTGCATATTGTACCGTTTACAAAAATTACTAGTTTTCTCCGTCAGCATACGAAAGAGAAAAGTGAAAATATTGAATAATATCTTAGTGTGCAACATTGAACTTCAGTTCAGTTTTCAGTTTTTTTTCAACCATGCGTGCCAGCATTTCTTCCGTGATGCGTACGCCGGATAAAATGCAGCTGCTCGACTAGCAACATCTATTAATTACCCCTATTATTTCTCCAGTTAGACTAATCGTGCTGGTTATCTGTATCTTCACTAAGAATTACATTGTCATCTGTATACTCCGAATCAAACAGTCTAGCACCACTCAGGAGCAAATCGATGCCACTCGCACACGGATAGCTTTTTCTTCTGTAAAGCAGTTAAATAGAAAACCAGAGTGCCAGAGGGCAACTGACGAACAGCATTTTCAGTGGTGAACTCGGACGAAAAAGCGCCGTAAGCTCGGCTTCGGCTATTAGTATAAAGTTATCGCGAAGTTGAATTAAATTTCTCGGGCACACTCTTCAGTGAAAGGTAGCACGGGTTCACAGCGGTCGACTGGGTCGAAAGCCGCTTTCAGACCCAGGAAGCAATGGTGGGTCTACGAAAGGAGTGTTTGAGTTCTAAAATTTCGCCAAGGGTGAATGTATGTTCGATACAACCTCGACCAGGTGTGAAATCAGCCTGATTCTCACGTGTGCACTCTTAACGTGCGGTAAACAAACGACGGAGTATAACACCAACGAGAATTTTAGAGATAATGTTGATTACACTAATTTCTTTGTGGGTTTTACACGAGGATCCGTCACTTTTCTTGTAAATCAGTAAGATGACCAATTCACACCATTCCATTGGAACCTGTTCCCTCTCGCATATTGAGCTCAAGAGTTTCGTTAACTCCAAGTTTAACACTCAGTCTCTATCCCTAAATGTCCATGGAAACACCATTTGGGCCCGAAGCTTTTGTGATAACTTGTTTCCCTGGAGAGCTCCATTTCAAACGGATGACTAATATTAACTGGCAGTTGTTGCCTATTTGAAGTAGGGGTTGTCGGGTCTAATGTTGATGGGGGCCAATTGAACTGTACCTCAAAATGTTCAAGACAGCTTTACTGACTATAAACCAATGTGCTGTCAGACTCCTTAAGTACATCACGCTTACTCTCCTTGTGCTAGTACTCCGAATTAGATGTGTTTATTCTCTTAAGTGACCTCTCCAGGGTCGCGAGTGGATTTTCAGAGGAAGCCAGGAGTTGCCCAATCAACTGGCCATATAAGGCAGGTTCATCTGATCACTAGCCATTAATCTTTCAGGCGTGGCTTGATCTGCGACCGTGGAAAACCGTCCTATGTATCCCACAGGGTCATGGAAGCATACAAGCCATCACACCAGGTCAAGGTGCAGTTTCATTATGGTTGATATTTGCACAGACCATTTGATTTTTCAATTTATCCATCAAGGATTTTGATTAGGCTATTGAAATAACCGTTTAGGACAATCTGTGAAATGGTCATATATATATATA